TATAAAACAAACATACGAATCTGTATAGATCTCTTGTAGACACCAAGAACCTACATTACGTACTTGCGCCTGTTACCCCTCGTGGAGGAGCATAGGATGCCCACCGGCATTCCCCAACGGACGATGTCCTGGTCAAACCTTTCATTTGTATTACGGTGAATGATTGAAAAAACGTTTCAGTTCGCATCCACCTGAAATTGTCCTATGTCCATTAAGTGACCATTTATAGAGTTGATTTCCGTAACCTCCACTGTAGTTTAGTTTAAGAGTTTTGAAATTGAGTAATATTTTGTCAATTATAAAGCTTGAATCTTTTGAATCATAATAGTGTCTTAACTACAAAAAACTATTCTTTTTCATTTTACTTACGGTAACTAACATCTGATTCGAATGGTCATATCGTATATGAATTAATAATGCATTTTTGAGTGTTCATCATCATATAAAGGAATTTTCATTTTATTCTAAGTATTGGACATTCCACCTCTCCCCTTATTTGAACTAGGTCCATTCTTTCTCTGTTTTTTTTTTCGGTCAAAAACAGAGATATATAATTCATCGGATCTATCAAATTTTTTCCTTTCCATTAAATGCAACATTATTTATTTTGTTAATTGAATTGCTCATGTGTGTGATAAAACTAAAATGACGTATGCTTTAGTGATTATCATCATATGACATTTCAATCATTGAAATAATCAGAAATGTGATTGAAGTTATATGAAAGAAAAATTGATCTATCAAACACGTGATATCATATAATTTTCATCACGAATTGACTTTGTTTAGTCAACCATTGAAAATCTGGAAGGACTGGACAAATATTTCGTTCCAGTGTGGTAATGAACAACAACTTGCGTTCACCACCACAGTTGAGGTTGAACCCAAGATATTCAGGCATCATGATCAGTTCTTTACCTTCAAACCGCTGGTTGAAAATCCAGTCGTTTTCATTTTTTATTTCAATAAATTCATAATGTTGCACAGTGGCTATCTTTCAATGTCATTGATCAGTAACTGACTGCCTCATATTTGATGTGATTCATTCCCACTTGTGGTGGTGGTACAGTCTGCCATTTGAACTCTTGGGTGGGATTATCAATCAAATTTAGTCATTACTGAGCATATGATTCTTATTTTTATGAAAGGTTTGTAGTGGTTATTCAACTTTATAGTTTACGTCACAAACTGACGTTAGTCAGACGGCCATCAAAATCAAAGTATGAATAGACGGGTATTTCTTCCTAGTATTGCCGTTTCTTGTCAGTTTGTTATAGAAACTATGAAAGTAAGCAGTTTCCACAAACCATTTTACGTTAATAAAAATATAATCTAATTTAAGCATATTTTCTTATAGATTCTTTGTATGTGGCTAATATTATATTTGTTTTTTTCGGTTTATCATTACGTCGTCCAGTGTATTAATTGCATTCATTTGAGTGATAATACAACGAACGATACACCAGTACCCAATGCATTGGATTTCGGTCAGTCGCTACAATATCTTATGGAAACTTTACAGTTAAACAGTATTAATCCTGTTACTACGGTTTCCATATCTACATCAACATCACCGTTGTCATCACAAGTATTACCGATCATCACTAGTAATGAGTCAACTTTGACACAAACAGAAGTAATTTCAACCATGGATATGGCTACATCAATAACAATTCCCAATAACATGTTCACTAAAGGTTCGTGTTCTTTGTATTATCTAACAGCAATCCGATTACTATGAAAGCAATGTTTTGTAATTTCTACTATTCGATGGAATTCGGTTGAGCTTACAGTAATTTCTAATAATGAACAATTGAAATTTCTTTTTATATGTACCCGATAGTATGGCCATCGATACCCAAACCCGCACAATGTCTCAACTGTTATCAGTATAGGGTTGTTAAATTTTATTGAAATCACGGACAGTTCGAAGTTAGATTAAACATTGAAAATCAGCGAGCACTGAGTGGTCGTCTGGTCGTAGTATGAGACTTTAAGGTGTGCTCATACACGACCCAGCACCTTTGATCTCTTGAGAGTGCTTAATCTTTAAATCACTGAGCAGACATACGATGGTGTTAATGTCTAACTTTGTTTAATGCATGTTATTGTGCAACCATCTTCCATTATTTTCAGTGTGTAATTGTCTTACACTACACGGCTGAACTCTACTTGCCACATCTTTTCACTGGAACTCAAGAAATTTCCCATCGAAGTTAGTCACTAATGAACACATCATCGCCAATATAATGAAACCCATGAAAAGGACAGAAGTGTGGGAAAAGTTTTAATATTCCGAAAGTCAAGAATTCAAAATTAAAGAAGAATAACTTTGTATATTTTGTAGTAGTAACTTGTCATGATCGTGAGACTCTTGAAAATTAGCAAACTATTAATGTTAAGAATTAATCAGAGAGAATGAGAGAGAGCAATAAACGTCATGTAAAAATATGACATTAGAAAAGATATAGTCGCTTTTATCGTTATACGAATGAAATTAGCGTTTATTCGTGAAAAACTTAATAACTTAATGTTCATCTAGGATTTTCAGCCTAGACTACTTAATGTTTTACTTATTAGTATATTTCATTATCAAGTTATCAGGTTAATTTGATGCGATCTGTCTATTTATTTTATTCTCAAATTAAATAAATGAATTTATTTATTGGAACAGTTATGATAAATACTTAAGCCATTTGATCTATTTCAGTCTACTGTTCCTGGTCTTCTCTTTTTAAATGTATGGCTCATAGTTACATATATGAACGTTAATCCATGGTCACTGAGCGCAAGTGCAGTTAGATTCGAACTCATGGTTTTGTTCCTATATGATGAGTAGTTTAGCAGGAAATGATGGCTAATAATCTTTTTTCTTATATATATATATATATATATATATATATATATATATATATATATATATATATATATAATTAATAGAACTGTACATTGGTTATACAGCCCATTATATGGCAGGTGTTACGATTTTCTTCTCCTTGGCTTAATACTCCACCAATGTTATTATCGTATATGTATGTATATAAACTCGAACCCATCTTGGGAGAAACAGTTACTTCAAGGCTTCAGATACGAGTCCCAACTAACACTAAAACTCAGATCCACTGTATCCAGTTTATAATAGAGTCATAGGACTGATCTGAACACACTTGTTATGGTGTGATATGAAAGCTATCCAGCGTATAAACCTAAAGTTGTTGAAACCAGCTTAACTATACGAATGTTTAGTCTCTACATGTGTGTATTTATATGTATTCTAAAACGTTTTGTATTAATACTAAAACGATTGTTAAATGATTGTGAAGCGTATTAAAAAAAAACAAGAGATCTAGTAATATTAGACGTAAAGTTAATAGAGTTAAAATTATTTTTTGCAACATGTATGAACTAATTTTAACTCAACAATGCACTGTCGAGAACGAAGTGTTTTGGTTCTATTTCCTGTAATAGAGTTATAGATAAATACTGCCATGAAGTCCCATACTAAGAGAAAATAGCTCTCTAATATTTTCTTGTTTTTACTGGTTGTGTAACTAAGATCAATTCGTGGTGTTTAGTATACTTTATGTTTTCTCGCTTGTGTTTTTATTTCCTGATGCTTTAAATCATTGCGTCATCAGTTGTTACGGTTGCGTGCGTTTATGTGTTATCATTTTTCTTTATTATTTCATATCCTTTTCGTAGGTTCTGATTTTGAAAGTAGAACATCGCCAATCTGTGTAAGTTCCCCCTTTTTATAGATTTCCTGTTACTGATTTCTCGTCATTTGTCACATATTCGACATTCTTATTGAGTTTTTGTGTTTACCATGTTCCAGTATATTTTGTGTTAACAATAACTATCGTGAGCTGATTAAGTGTTCAAATCCTCACTCCTTGAAATATTTCACTTTCGAACTTTGAGTTACAGATCCAAAATTACTTTAGTTATAACAGTTAACGCTACTACTACTAAATAACTCTCCAAACTGAAGTAAGGTTTATCAGGGTTTGAATCTATGGATAAATGGTTGAATGGTTAAACCCATAGGTCAATACTTCACTTCTTTGGACAAAATAGAGAATAAGAATTTAAAGCAATTAATCCCCTTCTTAAATTTTTATAGAACGATTCAAAGAAGAAGTTGATCCAAAGATTGTGATGTATTTGCACTATATATTTCAAAAAATCTGGTCATGGACTTGTCAAAGCGTTTGTCCTGATAATCTTTAAGCTATTTTGTGACCTAGGATAGTGCGACAATTTTCTATTCTTTCCATATTAAAGGAATCTGTTTTCTTTCTTTTAATTACAATTATCATTTAATGTCTGTTCGGTTTTTTTATTTAATTAATCTTTATTAATTTTCATATATAATATTTCTTGATTAGGATATGTGTGACCAGATTGTTCGAAATGTATGACATGAATACATCACTTTTTCAGATCAACTTTGTCTTCTCATTGTTCCACCAAAGAGAATAGGAAAAATATAAGCTAAGCATGCTCCTAGTCCGTGAGGGAAGCGGTACTGCTGGTTGTGGAAAGGTTTGATGATGGTAGGATATTTTTTTCCTCAAATAACTAGTTCCTGAGACGATGATATCTTCCTAAAACGGAAGGAGATTAGGAAATGTTAACCCTAAAAGCACCACACCATATTATCCTGTGGAGTAAGCTCCCAATCATACGAACGATTATTGACCGGTCTGAAACAGTTGTTCTTTTAGACGCTATGCTCTCAATGCTAAATGGTTTTTGCTACCACTAACCCATTTTCCTTCTCAGTTATCACAAGAAGTATCTTTCTACTAGGGTTTAGGCAAACGGATGTTGTAACCACCTTCACACTTTCAACACCATTTGAGATCAACATATTCATAATCAAAACTGTTATTAATTGATAACAGAATTCAGATATTCTGTGATGCATCTGACAATATCGATGCATTTCTGTTCCCTAAATTTAAACTGTGTAACTACAAACATTAGCATTCAAAAGAGTTCGGACTATCTCGTTGTTTGATATTCAGCACTGAATTTTAATCAACCTTCTCTGGCTTTGATGGAGTTTTGTTCTCCTAGCTGGATGGCTTGGTCGTGGCGCTTTCATCGTTATTCTGAACGACATCATCAATACAAACTTCAGATAGAAGTGAAGTGTTCGAATTACTCCACATATGGTTCACAATTTGTCCTGTAGACCTCGATGTTGATTGGTTCTTGTTGACCTTAAACCTGTCATTGTTTAATTCTTTATTTTGATTGTATCCAATTGATTTAATTTTTGGTCCTATATTTGTCCATAGTCTTTCTGATTGGTTGATAAATTGGATCGAATTCAATGTGTTAATTGATTACTAATTGACCGGAGTGTCAAGTTTTTAAAAATTCTCTAATGTTTTTAGAATGACCTCTATCCAAGATCTCAACACTTTCCCAGTCGAATGTGTCCACAGTTGTCCGCATGCGTTGATATAAGTGAGGATATACCATAATGTTTGACTGCTAATTAATGTTCATGCAGGCGAAGGTGAAGAGGGAGTCGTCTTTGTCCGATGTAGTGTTTTTCGAAGTTGGAATAGTTTATTTTATAGACAATGTTTGATTTTTCTTCTTTTGTAATTTCGTCCTTTGGTTTGCATAAGATTGATTGAAGTGATTATGTTGGTTTGTGTGCTATATATATATTAGTTGCCTGTCTAGTATTGATTAGCAATAATAGTAGTAAACTGTTTAATTATTATGTTGTTTTTAATTCTAATGAATAAAAAATCTAGGAGGTTTCAACGAACCTAACTTCATTGATGAGTGCTACTACTACTACTGTTAATAATAATAATTATAATTATCCATTGTCAACTATTTCTCGTTCTACTTCGCCAATATTACAACAACTAAATCACAACAGTGAACACACTTGCAATCTTCCAACTGGATCTTCTTGCTTCACTAATATTTCATCAAAATTAACTAATGAACGTTTTACTAGTTTTGTACATTCTAAGTGAGTTGTTTATTTTCCTTTATTATTTTTTTTTGTTTTTTCTTTGAAAAATATTCTATACTGCACATTGATTGAATATGTGACGTTTTTAATGTTAACAGTATGTCATTGTGGATCAGTGAATAAGTACTAGTTGTAAAAGTGTAGTTCCCACCAAATATTTCATTTTAAACACCCTTACCTGCTCCTTGATTTTTATTGTTTTTGTGTTCTTCATCTGACTTGTTGTTTTGCTTTCTTACTTACTTACGTACGCCTGTTACTCCTAATGGAACATAGGCTGTCGACCAGCATTCTCCAACCCACTCTGTGCTGGGCCTTCTCTTCTAGTTCTATCCAATTCTTGTTCATTTTTCTCATGTCTATCTCCATTTCTCGGCGTAATGTGTTCTTTGGTCTTCCTCTTTTCCTTTAGCCTTGAGTCTTCCAAGTGAGGGCTTGCCTTGTGACGTGGTTGGGTACTTTCCTCAATGTGTGTCCTATCCACTTCCATTAATTCTTCCTGATTTCGTCCTCCGTTAGAATCTGGTTTGTTCTCTCTCGTAGTAGGTTGTTGATAATAATGTGGTGTCTGGCCAACGGGTCCGAAGTATTTTACGTAGACAACTGGATGATGGCTTTCGTAGTTCTCCAAGTTTCCGTCCCATATATTAGAACTGTCTTGACATTTGTATTGAAAATCCTGACCTTGGTGTTCTTTGCCAATTGTTTTGAGTTCCAGATGTTCTTCAGTTGTAAATATGCTGCTCTTGCTTTGCCGATCAGCGCCTTCACATTTGTATCAGATCCACCGTGCTCATCGATGATGCTGCCCAAATATGTAAAGGTTTTTACATCTTCCAACTCTTCTCCGTCAATTGTGATTGGATTGTTGCATGATGTGTTGTATCGGAGAATCTTGCTTTTCCCTTTGTGTATATTGAGACCTACTGCTGCTACACTGGTCGTCTTCTGCATTTGTTGTTGCGTTTGCGATAGAAGAGCCAGATCATCTGCGAAGTCTAGATCATCCAATTGCATCCTAGCTGTCCACTGTATCCCGTGCTTCTTTTCAGATGTTGACGTCTTCATGATGCAGTCGATCACCAGGAGAAAGAGAAAGGGTGAGAGTAAGCGACCTTGCCTGACACCGGTCTTTACTTCGAACGATTTTGTCAACTGTCCTCCATGCACAATTTTGCAGTTTAATCCATCATAGGAATTCTGTATGATATTGACTATCTTCTGAGGTACGTCCTAATGTCGAAGAAGCTTTCATAATGTTGTTCTGTCCACGCTATCAAATGCTTTTTCGTAGTCAATGAAGTTGATATAGAGTGATGAATTTCATTCAATTGATTGTTCCACAATGATCCGTAGAGTTGCGATTTGGTCTGTGCACGATCTATCCTTACGGAATCCAGCCTGTTGGTCGCGAAGCCGGGCGTCTACGGAGTACTTCATCCCGTTTAACAATACCCTGTTGAAGACTTTTCCTGGTATTGAGAGAAGGGTGATTCCCCTGTAGTTGTCACTGTTGCTGAGATCGCTTTTCTTTGGTATTTTGACCAGAAGTCCTTCTTTTTAGTCTTTTGGTACATGTTCCTCATCCCAAAATCTTTCTGAAGAGAATGTGGAGTATCCTTGCAGTTACCGCTACGTCTGCTTTGAATGCCTCTGCTGGAATGTTGTCTGGTCCTGCTGCTTTGTCACACTTGATTTGTCTGATGACCATGCTGATTTCTTCAATTGTTGGTGGGCCAACATCGATTTGGAGGTTCGTGAGTGCTGCTTCGATGTTGGCTGGGTTCAGTGTGGCTGGTCGATTCAAGCGTTCTTTGAAGTGTTCTACTCACCTGTTTCGTTGTTCTTCAATGTTGGTGATTACCTTGCCTTCCTTGCTTTTCACTGTTCGTTCTGGTTTACGATGATTTCTAAAGAGTTTTTTGTTGTGTCATACAGTTGTCTCATGTTTCCTTCTCTGATAGCCTTTTCCTCCGTTACTGCTAAATTTTCCACATATTTACGTTTGTCAGTTCTGATGCTTCTCTTCACTTGCTTGTTTACTTCTGTGTATTCAGCTTGTGCCTTGGCTTTTTCTGCTCTTGTTCGGCTGGTATTGATTGCTGCTTTCTTGTTCCTCTTTTCTTGAATCTTATCCAGTGTATCGACCGTGATCCACTCCTTGTGATGGTGCTTCTTTTGGCCCAGAACCTCATGACATGTTGAAGTGATTGCCTCTTTTATCGCTTTCCAGTTGCTCTCCATAGTAGTTCCCACTCCATTGAGTAGATCATGAAAGGCATGGAACTTATTGCTGAGGGTTATCTTGAATTTGTTGAGTTTGTCAGTATCCCGAAGAAGAGCCGTATTAAACTTTTGTGATATTGTCCGCCCCGTTGTCCAGTGCTTATTGAGTTCCAATTTCATCTTGGCGACCAGCAAGTGATGATCTGATTCTATATCAGCTCCTCTCTTGGTTTAAACGTCCTCCATCGTCCTCCTGAACATTTTGTTGATACAGATATGGTCGATTTGGTTCTGTATGGTGTGATCCGGTGAAGTCCATGTGGTTTTGTGAATGCGTTTATGTGGGAATATTGTCTCGCCTATGACCAGTTTATTGAAGGCACATAGATTTGCAAATCTCTCACCATTTTCGTTCCTTTCTCCCAGTCCCTGTCGTCCCATGATGTCTTCATATCTGGTGTTGTTCAATTCCAACCTTGGCATTTAAATCTTTCATCAGAATGGTCAGGTCCTTTTTTGGGCACTTGTCGACGGTTGACTGCAGCCTATCGTAGAATTGATCTTTAGCGTCTTCATTGTAGTCGTTGGTAGGCGCATAGCATTGGATGACGTGTGGAGCATTTTCTTCTTCATGTCCGGAGTATAACAGAAGCTCTCCTGATGCTAGTTGTTGTTGTCCAACTTGCGTCCAATGTGTTTCACTGATCCCAAGCACCTCTAGGTTGTATCTCCTCGTGTCTGCAGCAATTTGGAAGACTCTCCCAATCTTCCACATTGTACGAGCGTTCCGTGTACCTAAATAAATGGTTGCTCTGGTTGTCAGAAGGGGCATCGGCCTCGTGACTTCCGAAGGAACTCGGCTTTCATCATGAGGCGTCATAATTCTTCTAAATGAAGACCTTCTGACTTCCAGGACAGAGTTTAAATGGTTTGAAAAGTTTTTTTCTGGTTAGCGTTTTTTTGCGAGTTAGTTTTCTACAGGATGGGGTCGCTAACCCCATGCCCAACCCTTCTCCTTTATCCGGGCTTGGAACCGGCAGTAGCACCCGGAGTTACTCCAGGCGGATTTGTTTTGCTCTCTACACTACATATATATATATATATATATATATATATATATATATATATATATATATATATATATATATATATATATACAAATAATGGAAAAATGAACGAATGAAATCTAGAAATGATGAACGATCAGCATAGTCAAAGGAAATTAAACCAGTAAAGCGTAAGACCGACGATTGCAGATTATCTTATGGTCGAAAATCCTAAAGTTTTCACCTAAGCCTTAAAATAAGTCACTTTATGTGCTAATTCGATTGTTTTGTTTAGCTGCTCAACCTGCTAATGTGCTAGCCAGCCTTAAGTGTCGGTTCAATAAGCGTTGACTGGTTGCTTTTTTTCTCTGAAGATCTAAAATCTTATCATACGATTTATTATTTCTATCTAGCACTATCCTGTTATAGTCCATAATGCCCGGTTCAGCCACAGATAAACACGCTTCGTATACACTTATTAAAGCATCAATGAAAGTGAGAATACAGAGTAATGTTTAGGAGGCTTTAAACAGAAAACCGAATTATAGTTTGTATAAATCAGATGTACCTATATACAGTTGTCCTTCTGACTCAAACATAGATGTGTTAACTAATATCTTAAGTAGGTTCACAATAGAATTCCTCTCATAATGTCTCGTTTATATTCTCTCACCTACCGCCTGACCTTGAGATGGATTGCGAGCGCACGCACGTGATATAACTATACTCACCCAGCCGATTGTGTCCAACTTCACATTCGCTGGTCCCACGATACGTCATGAGTGGTGCTTTAAAACGTATTTATTATCAAGTAACTTCAATCTTATATGTTTATTTTAAACTCTTATGCGTTGCTGTTTCGGAACCCGAAAGTAATATAACACTAACTGTCGTATAGGTATGCTCACCTTTTGATCTGCAGTAGTTCAATTGACGTAATCAGATAAACCGGTGATTTTGCACACATGTATCAGTTGTTTCAACTAAATTATGTATATATATATATATATATATATATATATATATATATATATATATCGTTTTGCTTATATCTGATTTTTATTTACTTTTTACACATAGCTTTTTGCCAGATGATATTGTAATATTTGTTCCTGTCCCAGGAACTAGACCAAGTATTTCATCATCAACATTAAACACTTCTCCAGCTGCAATCACTACCATCATTTCTGCCACAACAACGACCACTTCTACTGCAAGCTGTATTCTATCACAAAATTGCCATAATGTTGTAAAAGCAGATGATGGTACTGTTGCTACTACTACTAATAGTAGTAGTAATAATAATACTAATGTTCATGATTCAACAATGATAACTAAATCTGACATTTGGTCAGTGAATAGTAAATTCGCTTCGAATCTCTTAGATGCTATTTCACCATCATCCAGTTTATTATCGTCAATGATTGTTCAATCATCGTTACCATTTTCATCAATATTTATGGATTCGTTAACAGGAGGAGGAAATGTAGTAGGAAGTTCTGGTACTACCACTACCGACACTATTACATCTGCCACTACTACAAACACAAGTGACAATAATACCTTAATGAATAGTAGTAGTATCTTATCTACACCTAAAAACATTTGTGCATTAATCAACAGTAGTAGTATTCACAGTAATAGTACATTAGCTAATGAATTATGTACAAGTACATTTGGCGGTAATTATGGTACACTTTTACCTTCAACTACTACTCCTACTACGTCTGGTTGTAGTGGCACTAGTGTCAATACTACAACAACAACTGAATCATCTTCCACAACGTCTACATCAACTATCACTTACGTTCAATGGCGTATGTTATCCTCGGATGGACATGTTTACTTTTTACATCAAGATGATTTTAAGGCACTGAATATTGAGGACCATATTGATTATTGTAAGCCTATGAGTTCTAATGTACAGGAAACAAGTAAGTATATATATACATATATATGAATATCTCGACTACTAACTCTTGACTTTCATTTACTGTAATAGAAAATGTAAATGTTCAACAGTCATATTGAAACTGTTTTACTCATTTTAATTTTCATTATAAACAGTTTTATGAATAAATGCCATCTTCTGACTGACTAATATACTGAAGACCTTTCTTTCCGGATTAATGGTCATTAACACTTTGTAAGTATTGTTTAATATGTCACCATCCAAAAAGTCAGTGGAAATCATAAATTCTGAAGATATTGGTTAAATTTCAGTTTTTTTTTCTCAATTCGACTTAAGATTTACATGTTACTATTTGACAGACGCTAGAGTAATATTAGTAAGGAGCTTTCAGGAACCATGAATGCAAAGATCTTTTCCATTTTTATTGATATTTTAAATAATTAGGTAATTCAAAAATTCTTTATACTGATTCATGATTCCTTTCCGTTCGTGTGAAGAGTGACGGCACCATGTTGTTACTAAAACATTAAATGCGTAGGACAGGTTTCTAACCTGGTTTTCGCATATTAGAAAAATCTAGTTTGTGAACTTAGAAGTAACAACTTAATCAAACATTGTTGTCACTAATCATTAATACTAACCACGCAAGTCATTTTTGAAATGATTCAATGGAATTAAGTCATGATTATTTTTGCTTGCTAGAGATTCGTTGTTCGAACTTTGAGAAAGATTTGAAATCGTTTCATTGTGTAGCCGTTTATTGTTTTGTTAATCAATGTTTTATGATTTGATATTGAGCAATACTTTAAACTTATTTCATCAACTGGATGTTTAAAACTATTCTGAATTTTTTTGTACTATGTAAGCAAATTATTATGACTTTTAACAAGTGTAAGTTATCAGCTTAGCACCACTCGTCTTTATATGAGAACTAATACTATACTACTCAAATGTATAGTGGAGTTTGAAATTACACGTATATAAGTCGGTGCTTTTGAATATCTTGACGTTATATTTTTGTCGAGATATCATTGTTTACTCTAGGTTTTCTTGTTTATCACTGTTGGTCATATTAAAATTGAATTATATGGGTGTAGATCAGTTTCCACCTTGTGAATAGTGTTTGATAGACATGGAAATCTATTCATGTAACTGTCGTTTCTTTATAGCAACCTTTATGGTTATGATGCTTTGTTGTGTACATGATTTAGTCAGTAGGTAAGCATCACTTTCATTTTAATCAACAAATATATTCACTTACATCATAAATATACGTTGACAATAGCGCCTAGGTTCAAATTCATCAGGACACATTAGCTTCCTCAACATTACAGGTATATCTTGCTGGCAAGTGTCAACTAATACGACCTAAGTTCAGAGTTCCCTATTGGTTATCTCCAATTTTCTAACGTAGTAAAGCATATCTGGACCACTACTATCCCTTATCTGTTACAGATTTAAATATGAGTTTAATGTCCTAATTTTTTATATTTTGTAAATATCACATCTAGGTTGTTTGACAGATGTCCCAGTTGTATTTTCATATTTTTCTCTTGTATTATGTTTTGTGTTAACAGATTCATCTCACCATAGGAATGTGTCGTTTAAAGAAGCGTCTCAGACACATAATTATTTTGTCGCAGCCAGATACAAAAGTAAAGAACGTTGTTTATCTAAACGAGTAAGTTTATCTATCCGTTTATCCATCCATTGATAAACCTATCTGATTATGTATCCCCATGAGTGTTGTTTTGCTTCTTTTCTTTTTTTCTACCAAAATCCAACTTCACCTAAACACAGTCATTGTACTTGTTGGTTGACTTTATGTTTGACAGATATATATAGTATAAGACAAAACTGGAAACATATTGATCTGTTGTTTATTTTGCTCTTTATACGTATCTAGAATTCTTGTTGATGTTGACATTGGAGCCTTTAAATTTTGATGATAGTATCTGGTCCTTTTTTTCTACGGCACAAGTAATACTGCAGTATCAACTTAATCTCTCTGTTAGTAAACCTTCTTTTCATATATCTATACCAATTTTCAGAAACATTTCCACTCGACGTTTTTTTATCTTGTATTCAATCTGTCTATTAATAAAGGTATATGTCACTTGTATATTTTTGTTCGGTTAATAGTCTCTAAACCATGAAGTCAGTGGTCTAAATATTTAGTGCATTCTGCGTGATCTGAAAGTTCAGGGTTCGATTCCAAGTGGGGTTGTGGGTTCGTTTTACCAAGGAGTTCCACTCTAAGAAGGAACAGTTGTCTAATGGTTCGTAATTGTCAGTGATTGGAAAACAAAAGTCTTTTCATGATGTTTACCATATAATGGTCGTTGCGTTACAAGTAAGTGGCCTGTTTTTAAGAAGCCTGAATAAAGACTAGGGGTTGAATTTCATTCATTAGTCTATGTCCATGGTATAATTTACTTCTAAAAATTATAGATATGTCGAATGTCTGTTTGATAAATTTCGTAGTGTAATGTCATATATGACGATTAATTACTCAGGAATTTTTTATTGGCTTAGTCAAACACTGAATTATGTTAAATGTTATTCATTTACTAGCTTTCTATGGTGTATTTGTTTCATTCTTCTTGCTAATAACGAGATTTAAAACCTGACGTAGGTTAGAGTTTGCGATGACTACTTAAAACTGATCACATATAGCCTTTTAGTTTGTAAATGTTGGTATGTTGGCTTCGTATTTTTCAGACCTAGTCTCTGAAGACGGAAATCTGTTAGACACGGTGATGTATATAAATTCTAGGGTTCGCCAACTCCAACCTCTCCTTTCATTACGAGAAGGTAACATCAATGCAGATAGTAATTATCTGCCGTCACACCCCTGTATGGACGTCAGTACATCTCCACCCTTCCACTATGTGTTTCTTGCTTTTAGTCTTACTGTTTTTCACTTGATCCACTTGACGTAGTAGGATCTAAAGTTACAAGCATCCCACCGATTGTAGTTCGATTATACCATGTAGGTATTAAAACTTCACCACCACCGCATCAAGGTGCCAGCTACTGTCAAGACGAAATATAACCGCTTGAATATCACGATGGTTTACTGGTTAAAACCACTACTAATACTACTACCACTACTTTAACTGTGAGATATTTATTCCCTTGCCTTGGCTTATGTTATACTTTTTATTTTGTGAATTCATTATTATCGAATCCTATTGTTTATAGTCAATGCTTACTACTAATACTGATATTGTTGCTTCTACTCTGTCATTTATCTTGATATGGTGACTTAATTTGAACCATTGAACATTTTTAATGAATTCTCCGTTGTCTATGAGTGACTAACAAATATGTTGATATTCATTCATGTAACGTTTTTTAAAATAAGTCTATAATCGGTTTTCTGGAAGTCGTCATAACACCCATATAGCTTAGATATCAGGCGTTTAACTGATCTCTTAATTTGATCGACAAGTTTGCATTTACTCACTGCTTTTATGTATGTTTTAGTTATGTCACTGTTTTCTGCCGTTTTCTAAAGTCTAAGATCACTATTCTCCAGTGTTACTCATCCACCAGCTGCAGATTAGTGTACTTGTCTTCCAGCCAATTTCATTTATTTAAACATATATATACTCCATATAAATCATTTGATTTGTGTGATACTACCTGTACACCCGAACCGAAGCAGGTGGTTCTCATAGGGGACAACTCAAACCTTTTCTCTAGCGGTCTAGTCCACAAGGTAGTGGTCAAGGTCTATTGCACTGATAGATTCTCGCAAACTCATCCCATCAGGTTCTGATGGGACAACCACAGAGGGATTAGTTTAACTAATATAGTATCTAAAATACTAGCCTCGATAATTTTCGGACGCCTAACTAAGACTCGTGAACTGCAAGCACGAGAGAATCAAGCTGGCCACAGACCTGGTCGTGGCTGCATCGACCACATATTCATCATTCGTCAGGTTCTGGAACACAGGCATACTTATCGGCGTCCGACAATGGTGGTCTTCCTTGGCTTAAAAGCAGCGTTTGACTCTGTTGACCGAGAGGTTCTGTGGCAGTGTCTGTCATTGAAAGGCGTACCTCAGAAGTACATAAACCTTGTGAAGGCTCTTTACTCGAACACTACTAGTCGAGTGAGGGCATATGGCGAAATGTCATCTGCTTTTGCAACCTCAAGTGGCGTCCGCCAAGACTGTCCACTTTCTCCATTTTTGTTTAACTTCATCATAGATCTACTGATGGAAATAACGCTCTCATCGACTGAATTCTCAGGTATTGATCTCCTACCAGGAGGTCCACTTATTGACTTAGAATACACAGATGACATAGTCCTGTTTGGTGAAGACGCTGATGAAATGCAGAGTCTTTTGGTAGCACTGAGCAACAATGCTAGAATGTTTGGGATGCGCTTCTCTCCCTCTAAATGCAAGTTGTTGCTTCAGGACTGGTCTGCGTCAACACCTGAACTAAGGATAGGGAGTGAAGTAATCGAACGCGTTGACAACTTCACTTATCTTGGAAGTCTTATCAGCCCTAATGGGTTGGTTTCTGACGAAATCTCAGCACGGATTCGAAAAGCTCGTTTGGCCTTTGCCAACTTACGTCATCTATGGCGAAGGCGAGATATCCGTCTATCAATTAAGGGACGAGTATACTGCACGGAAGTTCGTTCCGTTCTACTATACGACTGCGAAACATGGCCTTTAAGAGTAGAAGATATTCGTAAGTTACTAGTATTTGACCACAGGTGCCTTAGAAATATTGCTGGTTTGTGCTGGGATCACCGGGTAAGTAATAGTGAGATTAGACACAGGGTGTTAGGGAATGATGGTAAGTCAGTTGATGAGGTTATGAATCTTCATCGACTGCCCCCAAATGCCCTGGTACGGCCGAGAGTGGGGAGAGTCCGCTCTCCCTCTCGAAATGCTCTCACATGGCCATGCGTATATAGCCTCTGCCAGGAAAGTCCCAATCACTGCCTTCTCGTGGCGGGGGTGTTGTTGACAAAAATGAGAGGACGAAATGCGAATGTCCGGCGATTTAACCGGACCCCAAATCAATGGTGCACATGGGCCCCAGTATCCTGAAGGGTCAAATGGCGTGTGAACCAATCGTTGGTCACCGGCTGCCATGGGACTGCATCTCCTCACGATGCTCCACTGCCTTGTGGGTCAGACGTTCAGGTCGAATGTTCGGGTTGTGGCCTCCTAAGAAAACCACCTGCTTCGGTTTTGGCACCCGGACAGTATCACAGCCCTCACACAAATCAATTGAGATTCGTGTGGCGCATATGTACTTGGTGCCTCCCTGTACCTATACTTATGTGTTAAAATAAAAATAAAAATATATACTTCATCGACTGAGATGGTTGGGCCACGTGTTGCGTATGCCTGAACACCGATTACCACGACGCGCAATGCTGACTAGTGCAGGGGATAATTGGAAGAAAGTTAGGGGCGGCCAAACCAAAACGTGGCATCAGTGCTTGAAGTCACTAACTTCTGGTCTGAGCCATGTTGGTAGATTCAGACTGCCTGGTTGGGGTCCGCATGACTATCGTAACCAATGGTTGGAGACTCTTGGTGACATGGCTCAGAATCGATCACAATGGCGTCGGTGTATACACTCTCTATCTTCCTTTAAACTAAGAGATTAAAATCGCTTCATATCTTTCTTTCTTCCTGTCCTATCTCCTTATACACAATCTTTCTTCTATATATTACCACCATTGACTTAACCAGTCCTATGAATCCGGTGTTGATCTTGTTGTGCTAATGCGGTATGGCAACTTGGACCGATGCATATAAGTGCCTGGTCCTACATTGCAGCTGACTGACTGATAAGGCAGTGGAGGAACGTTAGGAGATGTCTCACGGTAGCCGGTGACCAACAATAGATCCATACATCATTCAGTCTCCCAAGATCAGGGAGCCCATGTGCACCATTGGTTTGGAATTATGGTTTTCCAACTTCCCTAATTAGATCCTCCATACCCACAAACTTGGTTAAAGTGCCGGACACTCGCTTTTCGTCCTCTCAGTTTCGTAAACAGCACTCTCGTCGCAAAAATGCAGTGAGTAGGACTTCTCTCATAGAGTGGTTGTATACGCGTGATCATGTGAGAGCATTCGGTGAGAAAAAGCTGACTCTCCCCACTTGGGGCCTTCCATTCATACAATCCAGTATTTCTTTGATTTCCATTCAATTTAATATCGATTGCAAACAAGACAAATCACTGTACTAACAAATTTCTATATTTGTGATTCCTTTAATTCATTTGATTGTTTTTAAAATTATCAGTATTATTGAAGGTACTATACTGAGCTAAAGCTTAGAATCGTGTTTAAATTCGTTGACATTAATCTGCTTTGATAGGGATTGGGGCGAATGTCCCACAATAGACATGATTATAAGACTAATTGTTTGGCTGAAGCTTACGCTACTTCAGATAATCAAACGAAATTTACCTGTCTGTCGATTCATTTTTAATTCAAGCAAACATAGCTATTGTATCTCGAGCCATCTTTTGTACAATCGAAGAAAATAGTCAACAGTCTGTAGTATAACTCACATACACTGTACAACATACAGTGAACCGGTTAGGTAGGTTTATTCACATTCATCGAAAAAAAGCTGAAGATATGTGATTATTTCAATGATTAAGATCATGAGTCAGTTGGAGCTAGACCACCATGGAAAAGCTGGAAGCACTGGATGACCGTTTTGTCCTATTATGGGACCCCTCAGCAGTGCGCATCCACGACCTCGCCCCCTGCGAGATTATGATTCATTCAAAAATGAAGAATATTCGAGCGAACAATTGTTTTCAATGACTTCATCATCAGGTTCTACAGTTACAAGTCCATAATTATTATGACATTTTACAAAGGCCAAAACTAAGCCATGTATTGATGAATTTTCCTGCTTCGGTTTGGGCACCCGGGCAGTATCACAGCCCTCACACAAATCAATTGAGATTCGTGTGGCACATATGTATTAGTGCCTCCTTGTACCTATACCTATGTGTTAAAAAAATTGATGAATTTGACAATGTTATGTGTTAAAAATTGTTCATCTGTTACGATATATATATACACTTCAAAATTGTATTATTTGCAAATTAAAAAGGTCATTCAATAAAAGTCAGAATGATCTGGAGTAAAGTGTCCAGTCACAATAAGTAGAATAGTATTATAGCAAAAATGTAAATGCAAAACATTGTGTGAATAAAATGCATAGTAGGAGAACTTAATCTTGTCAATTGAGATAATAATAATATTGTTGTGTGAATATAATAAGGGAGGGTTTTATCAAGGTAATTACGATAAACGAAGTAGGAATGAGTCGTGTTAAAATATCACCCGCGATGTCCCCTTTAAAGTCTAGTCTCAAATATAAAGTCTTTCTACTGACTGTGTCACAATTTCTTCTTTTTGGTACTTTCTACAAGGTATTTTTTTAACGAAATTATCTGGATAGCCATTATTTCGTAATGTGTTCTCTAGTATATCTATTTCGCCATCCACACTGTCTTCAGAACATAATAACTTGATTCTGTGGTTGAGACATTTAGCCAAATTTACTTTATATTGAAGAGGTGTGAAGCTTTGGAAATGGGTATACTCTTTCTAAATATATTTCGCCTTATGGAACCATCTATCCTTCTAGAAAGTAGGACATCCAAAAAAGCTGTACTATTGTTTTTCTCCTCCTCGCTGGTGAATTTAATGGCTGGGTGGACATTATCGAAAGAGTCATTCATTCAAGTTGCCTTGTCGTTAGAAATTGATTGATATAAATTCTAGTCAATAATTTTATGGATGTTATTTCATATTTCGACTCAGTTCAAGTTTTCTTTCAACTTTCAATTATCATCCTTATGTCGTTTCGCGTTGTGTTTCGTTTTATGTGTATCAACATTAGCCCCAATTGGTGACAGTAAACTTGTTTAATCTCCGTTTCAATTACTTAAGACATCTGTTGCGGTTCTCGGAGGTTACGCTCTCTAGCTATCTCATCGTTTCACGGCTTATTGTCTTCATATTGTTCCGTTTTCTCTTCTATACAGCTATTTTGCATTTCAGGAGCAAACTGGAAGAGGGGCTAAGTTTGATCATTAGAAAAGTGGAAGGTTTACAGTAGTAATCTAATTATGATCATGGGACTGCTTGATAACCCTTGTTGGATATTTAAGCTTATCGTTGTGGTATGGACGTCATACGTCATACATCACGTACATTAGACTGCACACGTTCTAATTAATTTTGTTCATAAACTGCTCTAAATATTTATCTATTTCCTGAAACTGTTTTTCACGTTCCACCAACTGATGTAGTTACTTGGTTCTCGGGTATTAACCGGACTGATTATATGTATGTTAGATCGGTGTTGTAGAGGAATAAATTTTATTTTACAGAGAATTATTGTATTGTTTTTGTTGTCGAGTTATCAAATGTCTGGAATATGATATTTTTATATTGTTCTTATCGTATGATTTCATTTTCATTCTTTGAGTTGTTAGATGTTTTATTGTTCCTTAATTATAGTTATTTAATTACAGGCCTATTGTTCACTTTTGTATCACATATGACTAAGTAATGTACAGTTTGTAGTGGATTGTGATTATGTAACTGATGTGAGTTTTGGAGTTAAAATAATAGAAACTTAATCGGCTTACTGCCTTCGTGTTCTGATTGGTTATGAAGAGCCAGATGAACCAATAGAAATTAGAAGTTCGTCAAAAAAGAGGAAGGTCATTTATCCAAATAACAAAAGGCAAACTAGTTATAATTAAACTCCGTAATTAAGTGACTCGATTGAACTGACAAAATGAGAAGGTTTGGTTTTATAAATCATGTATACTTATATGATTTTATTACAATTGATTGATCATTGAGTAGAGTGATCAATGCATTTATTTAGTTCTGATGGTGCTAATCAAATTCTATCGATGAAGTTGCAATCTGACCACTGATCTAAGTGACTTGACATCGTGTGCATAATGTTGAATTGTAATCTGGTAGTTGATGGTAATCGACAGAAAACGCTGAATTTAAGTTTCTTGTTATTTGGCACTCACCAGCGAGGTGTGACTGTAATCTTAAAGTAGTTAATACTTACCCAACTCACTGAGACACAACTCAGACTGAATGAAATAATTGAATGCACCAGTGGGCATCAGTGCTCTGAAGATCACAAACCTCAAGTAGCATGAAACGTAGATCCACAGTTTCCTGTCAATTAACTATGTCTAAACACCTAACATTAAACTAACATTTCATTTTTTTTCAACGTTTTTCTTTTGTGTCCAGGCAAATAATCGATTCAATTTGCCGAAAAACTTTATATTTTACCGCGTTCGTGCTCGTCCTTTGTTGAATAGTAGTAGTAATAACTGTGGTGGTGTTGGTGGTATTCCGTCGTCACCTTCTCCAACTGGAAATCTTAATCGTCCGCATCATAATAATGGCAGCATTAAAAATTCTGTGATTTGTGATTCCCATCCACTTCTTTTACCAGATACAGATGTTAATAAACAGTCAGTTTATAAGTGACATATATGTGACTGACGGTGATGGAGAGTAGGGGTGTTCCAATCCGTTTGAACTTTGTCCTCGAGGAGAATAGGTCGGCGGGTGGCGGTGGTAGATAGTAATCGAAGTATTATTGTAATTAATACTATTTATTATTATTATTATTATTATTATTATTACAAATATTATTCGCACTGTTATTTTACTCTCCTTTGTTTTTCTCTCGTCATTATTGTCATTGTTATTATTCTAACCTACTTACATACCTACCTACCTACCATATCATGCCTTTCATACATTACATATATCACTTCATCAATCATAATAAATTTCCTTCACAATCAAGCAAGATATACCAAAAGTAAAATTAATAAAAAAGTAATACTCTTTCAAATGACACACACACATCTACATCTATCATAATAATAAGTTACCCCCAGACTAATATTGAATGATGCAACGCATTACACTATCGCATAATCCACAATTATGCAGATGTATTTGAAAGAAAAATCATCTATCATCATCACCATTAGCTCCCAATAATAGCTTGAGAGAAAAGAATTGAATGTTATTATTCACATTTCCGTTTCCTTATTCTTCTACTTTGTCTCCCTTTAGACGTTTAGGACAGTTCATTACTACCATTGAACTGTGTTATTGTATATGAAACACTTACTCTTAACTATTCTTTATGATCGTGTGTGATCTCGTATGTATGCACTAATATTTGTTAAGCGCCTGTGTCTTTCTTTTCCCGCCTCCCTCCCATGCGAAATCATATATAATACATGTATATGTATTCCTTGTTTATGTATGAGGTACCCCTTTCCTCTTATTCATCTGGTTCAAGAGGTTATTTATTCTGTGTTCTTTAAACACCTGAACGATTTCCATCATAAAACCTACTTGTGTCTGTTGGTTTTCGATTGTTAAATCTAATAACTTGTTTAAAAAGTCTTTTGGCTTTATCTCACACACACACCCTTACCATTTATTTACATATTCATATTTTCTATACTATGTTCTTGTTCTATGTTTATTTTCAGATGAACAGTTGTGTATAAAACTATCCAGTTCTCTTATCGACATTAGTATTATTATTACCACTGTCTATAATAACAACATTGATCATGTTGATAGTATTCGTGATGGTATTTCCTTCTGTCTCTTTCTTTCTATCTACGTTTAACATCAACTATGGCAAGCAAAAGAATTCCGCATAGATTTTTCTCATCCTCTCTTAGATGTTCAACTTGACATGTATAAATTATTGATTATTGTTTGTGTGCGTTAAATACTGTGTAGATTCTTTCTAATCTTTTTCGCTTCTCTCCATATACTGTCATCACTTCAAAATGGGTATGTATACCTATATATATATATATATATATATATATATATATATATATATATATATATATATATATATATATATATATATATTATTTTTTACAGGCCTTTTTCTTTAAAAATTACTTCACATCACTTTCGTCTTGTATTATCTAAGACAAATAAAATCATATTAAACCTATAAACTAACCTAATCCTAACTAATTGTTTAACAGTTACTGTTTTCTGACTAAACAAACTTTATACACTTTTTGTTTGTACTAAGAGCATTGTCATTAATATCATCATCATCGTTATTATTATTATTATTATTGTCAAGACCTTTATGCATATTATGGTAACATACACAATGATAAATCTTAACCGGTTTATATATATATATATATATATATATATATATATATATATATATATATATATATATATATATATATATATATATGGTATTTTCTGTATACAGATTACAATTAATTATCTATCGATATAGTTTGGTTTTCTGTTCAATTATGTAAGATGAATATTTGTATTTGTAATTTACTGTGTACTATATAACAGACTGATAAAGTTTACCCATTCAGATATAACAGATGTGTATTAATGATCATTTTTGTCATGGTCTATATTTGACTTTCTTTTTCTTTACTTTTATTTCTTTTTTTTGCAATTGTAACGTTTCTTTTTCCTTTACTCTCTTTCATTTGTGTTCTTTATATAAACACTAAGATGATATACAACGATGATAATGAACAATTACACAATTATTCTCATTTTACATAACAACCATGATCATTCATACTCAGAATTAATTTCTATTAAATTAAAAGGATTTTCCTAGTTAATAACTTATATATATCATATGGAAAGTAGAAATAGTTTAGGTTTTTTTTTCTTTGAAAAAAGAAAAAAATCCGTTACATATATTGAATATTAATGAACAGATTGGGTTTTAGTCTAGTTATCATGGAAAAAAATTAAGTTTTACGTTTGTTCACTTGATATTCGCTAATTTAACTCGTAACCGGATCAGTTGATTAGATTTAATAAACTATTAGTTGTGTAACAAATATAGATCCGATACTTTGAGCCAATCAGATAAGTACATGTAATTAGCTAAGATTTCTATGGAATGATATATACACTATTTATTGATATCAATCCGATTCGTTAATAAAAGCTACCATCTCCATTATAGAACAAATTCATATGAATTTGAAAATGACAGATTTATTTGTTTTTATTGTCTATTATTGTGAATCTAATCAATTCTCTGATTTTTCTCGGTAGTATTCTGACTAGCTTGAATTATCCGACCTGTTTCTTTACTAAATTACCAAAATCATTTTATTTAAACGATAAAACATATCATAAATGATCTCATCACAAATATCTACAATTGTTCTCAGTCCAATTCAAGTTGATATAATTACTTGTTGGCTTATTCGACACTTTAATTTCATTCATTAACAGTATGTAAAAAGTTCGAAACTCCACTTCACCAATTTTTATTTCGTCAATTGATTAGCTCCAAATAGAGTACATAAATATCTATTTAATAGATGAGTTATCTACTATTAATATATAAAGGGTTTAAAGGCTTTTTCATTTTTTTCTCCATATCTTTAGGTATATAAATGTTCACTTATATTTCTTATTTTCTTTCTTACTCACAACTTGACCACAGATATAATTATATATATGTAGTCAAGGCTTATAGAAGAACAGTTACTTTTAAGGTCAATACAAGTCAGTTGAAAGTACATAATCTCCATTGTTCAAAATACTTATTATTATGTTATGAATCACACTGGTTTATTTTTGTACAGATATTCGTAATTTAAAAAAATTGTTACTAAGATGACAATCATTGATACATGTTTTTATCAATTTATAAAATTAAACTGGTCTGATAAAAACAAAAAAAAAGGACAATGGTCAAAATGACCATGAGTTTTTCATCCCTGAAGCGATCATATGCACATACTTCTGAGGAGTCCTATATTAATACAAAACAACGATTTAATGATTCATGGTTTTAAATCATATACCCACCTAATCAATCCATGACGAATATGGTCTATAAATTAATAACTAAACCAAATGTTTCTGTATAGAATGAAGTCAGTGAGATAGCAACAGTATTGTTGAAATGTATAAGAACAAAATGATTGAATCATAAAAAATATCGAAGGGAAAGAAATATATTTATATAAAGTATATCAAATAGATTTTATAATGGAAATGAATGTTGAGTTATGTCATAGTCAAAACAAAAGAATTTGAATCTCCATTTTTAAACGCTACTTCAATCTTTTTAAATAGAGTATTAATCATCCCTAATCCGTTTTGGTAAAGTAGTTTTAATTATGTGATTTATTTGCTTTAATACTCTGGAAAGTGTTCATGAATTTGTTCCGTGTAAGTGGTCAGATTAATAAAGTGATTACAAAGCAAAGTGATTCCTCTTTCAGTTTGTGTGTCACTTGTGAACACACACGAAGCATTAGTTATAGTTTAGTTCTGTTGACAAGTTGTTCGAACTGTTATTTTTAAACCATAAATTAACATTTGATAAGCACGTTACCTCTTATTGTCTGAGAATAATACGAGCAGCTATTGACTTATTTTTCTGTTATGGGGTAAATCATATAAGTCTAAATGTGTCAAATAATATATATGTGAGTGTAAATTGTTTAACTAAACTTACATTTTAGGTGAAGGTCATCGGCTAACCAACCAATAATTGCTTAGCTTTCTGTGTTGACCTTCATATTGTAGAGTACTATTACGTATGCCTACCAGACTATCATAAAAATCATTCATGCTGTTAATGGTGCCATGATGAAACAAAGTAAGGTATCAGTTTATAAAACAAATATAGCTTAGATGAACTTAAAAATAATACAGAGAATTATTTCTTCCTGTAAATGTCCTATATTCCATTAAATAACATAGCTTATATGCCATATGCATATTTAATGGTATAAGTACGTTCTAAGGGTAATTTTCATCACCGATTCAAAATTAGTAAACCATTAAAACAAAAAAAAGCACAAGACACCTTTTACTTCCTTGCCTGCAATTACTTGTTACTAAGTGCTAACGATTTCATATAGGATTTAACCAGTCGTCTTCAGGTCTAACATTAAGTACGGTACTTTGCAATCACAAAGTTAGGAAAAAAATTACTTGAATTCACAACCTTAGTTGATTTGTGATATAATGTTATAAATATACACTAGTCTCGCCTTCTTGGTAGAAATTGATGATTTCTACTTAAAGCTAGTCACTTGTAAAGGCATGATTATTGTTAGAAGAAAGCGTGAAAACTGTTCGACAACTGGAGCTATCTAGTCTCATCTCATTTCATATTCTTTTTGCCCCACACATTATTTTCCTACGGTAGGATATCATGAAAAAAGTGTAAAGATAATTGGTTTATGATATAGTGCAGAGGAATCAAAGATAATGTGTTTTTATAATTCGACCGCTGTCCTAGACTTTCTAGATCAGTGTGATTTACTGATGATATACTGACTTCACGAAAACTTCTTGTAGTTCTAATATAAATTTATAAACATATTAGGAACGAAATTTATACCGCTAATAGCATCGAATAACGGTAGTAGTAAATCGACTGAGCAAAATCTAACGATGTCAGATTTTATCTGCGCGGTCATTGATCAATAGTACTGAAAATTTACAAACAAGGACGAAGTATCTTGTTATAATTATCCAACCGTGGGAACAATAGACGATCTTCATGATAACGGTAATTGAGTAAATTTACGTGATAAGAACATTATTTGTACATAAATTTTATTTTTAAGAAGAATCGAAGTTTAGTGGGAGAAATTTTCCTGTTATTCTTGGATATGGTACTTTGTCTAAGGAAGGAAGCATCCATAAAATAGGTCTCTTTTCTATGAGCCAAAGTAGGTATAAGCAAATCAATGTTTCCAAGACAAATCATGTAGAATTTGTGGTTTAAAGTGGATAGTATGAAATTAAAGATGAACTGTCGGATCAAACTGTAAGAAACGCTAGACCTAGGTTACGTAGTAGCTAGAACTAATGCGCTAAATAAACACACCATTGGTTATTACTCTATGGTTTTACTTACTTACACCTGCTACCTCTCGTGGAGGAGTATAGGCCACCCACCAGCATTCACCATCGAACTCTGTCCTGGGAAATTCCTCCCAGTTGCTATTCATTCTTTTCATGTCTGTTCCCAGTTCTCGACACATTGTG